CTGGAATCAAGGGCTACCAAGTTTGTTCAAATAAATGACCTTCATCCATTTTCAAGGTCACAGGGGTCAAATATGTTAAAATCTTTAAACAACTTCTTCTGAAGAACCAAGAGGCCTAGGGTGATGATATTTGGCCAGTAACATGCTGGGATGAAGGGCTACCAAGTTTGTTCAAACAAATGACCTTCTCCCATTTCCAAGGTCACAGGGGTCAAATATGTTTAAAACCTTTAAAACAACTTCTTCTCAATAACCAAACAGCCTTGGATGATGATATTTGGCCAGTAGCATCCTGGAATCAAGAGCTACCAAGTTTGTTCAAATGAATGACCTTCATCCATTTCAAGGTCACAGGGGTCAAATATGTTAAAATCTTTGAACGACTTCTTCTGAAGAACCAAGAGGCCTAGGGTGATGATATTTGGCCAGTGACATGCTGGGGAGAAGAGCTACCATGTTTGTTAAAACAAATGACCTTCACCCATTTTCAAGGTCACAGGGGTCAAACATGTTAAAATCTTTGAACAACTTCTGAATAACCAAAAGGCCTAGGGTGTTGATATTTGGCCCGTAACATATTGAAATGAAGGGCTACCAAGTTTTTTCAAACAAATGACCTTCACCCATTTTCAAGGTCACAGGGGTCAAACATGTTAAAATCTTTGAACAACTTCTGAATAACCAAAATGCCTAGGGTGTTGATATTTGGCCCGTAACATATTGAAATGAAGGGCTACCAAGTTTTTTCAAACAAATGACCTTCACCCATTTTCAAGGTCACAGGGGTCAAATATGTTAAAATCTTTGAACGACTTCTTCTGAAGAACCAAGAGGCCTAGGGTGATGATATTTGGCCAGTGACATGCTGGAATGAAGAGCTACCAAGTTTGTTCAAACGAATGACCTTCATCTATTTTCAAGGTCACAGGGTTCAAACATGTTAAAAATCTATAAACAACTTCTTCTCAATAACCAAAAGGCCTTGGATGATGATATTTGGCCAGTAACATGCTTGGATGAAGGGCTACCAAGTTTGTTCAAATGAATGACCTTCGCCGATTTTCAAGGTTGCAGGGGTCAAATTTGTTTAAAACGTTTAAACAACTTCTTCTGAACTACCAAGAGGCCTAGGGTTATGATATTTTGCCAGTTAGATGCTGGGATGAAGGGCTACCAAATATGTTCAAATGAATGAACTTCGCTCATATCTAAGGTCACAGGGGTCAAATATGTTAAAATCTTTGAACAACTTCTCAATAACCAAAATGCCCAGGGTGATGATATTTCGCCAGTAGCATCCTGAGATGAAAGGCTATAAAATTTGTTCAACATAATGATTTTGTTCGACTTTCAATCACAGGGGTGAAATGTTTAAAAAAAAAAATAACGGTCTTTTGAATGAATTTTAATCATAAATACTGATATTTTGCCTGTAGCTTTATTTTATATCACTTTTAAGGTTACAAGTGTGAGATTTATACCAGGTGAGCGATGCAGGTCCATTGGGCCTCTTGTTCAAGGTCACAATGGTCAAATATGTTTAAAACCTTTAAACAACATCTTTTCAATAACCAAAAGTCCTAGGATGATGCTGTTTGACCAGTAGCATGCTAGGATGAAGGACTACCAAGTTTATTCAAACGAATGACCTTGACATATATTAAAAGTCACAGGGGTCAAATATGTTTAAAACCTTTATAAACGACCGCTTCTCAATAACCAAAAGGCTAAGGGTGATGATATTTGGCCATTAACATGCTGGGATTAAGGACTACCAGGTTTTTTCAAATGAATGACCTTCGCCCATATGCAAGGTCACAGTGGTCAATATATGTTTAAATCTTTAAATTACTTGTTCTGTATAACCAAAAGATCCAGGGTAATGATATTTTGCCAGAAGCATGCTTGGTTAGACGACTATAAACTCTGTTCAACCTTATGTCCTTGTTCAACATTCAAGGTCACAGGCGTCATATGTTTAAACCTTTAATAGGTTCTTATGAGTCAAACACTGATATTCTGCCTGTAGCTGTATTTTAGTCCACTTTAAAGATTATTTGTGAGATTAATACCAGGTGAGCGATTCAGGCCCATTGGGCGGGCCTCTTGTTATATTTTGAAGTATATATATACACAGGTTATTGATTTGTACATCTCGACTAGTTGGTGAAGTAATAGATTCTGACAATACAGCAGACAGCCAGATCCATCACGTAGCCTCAGCTTAAGTTAATCAGATAAACATGTTGAAAGGGAACTTCAGTCAAAGTCGGATGTGAAATTATATGAAATTCAGTACCTTATCAAATCTTCCTCTTGCTTTCAGTCAATACTCTGTGGAGTTTTGACTGCTTCTAATGGAGATGTAGCAATCGATCATTCCTGTTAAAATTATTGTCTGTTGATAACACTTCTAAGAATTTTTCAACACTTCTAAGAATTATTCTTATTCAATTAGATGGATACATGCGTCTAGATGTTTCGGACCAATTTTATCATTAATAATGTTCCATAGCTGTTCAGAGTTGTTGCCCTTTGTTTAATTTCTTGTAAAAGAAAGAGGAAGTCAATTGCATTCATTTTTAACTCACCTAGTTTGAAGGGCCTTGTGACCTTATGCTGTGGTACAGCAACCATTGTTTACTTTGTAAAATGCTACTTGTCCAGAATGGCTAAAGGGATTTTGACACCCTCCAATGGATAGCAAGGCAGGGCCAAACAAGAAATATACATTTTGTAGGTAAATCTTTAAAAATCTTCTCCTTGAGTATGAGCAAAGAGATTTTATTAAAACTGATCTGGAGCATCCTTGGACCAAGAGAATTCAGCATTCTAAAAATGAATTGTTCCTTACCATTTGCAATGTTTTCATGTTGACAGGGGGAGCAGTCGCAATTGGGGCTGGGCTTCTGGAGGCTGTTCCATCCTCGCTGAGTTTGGATCCTTCCATCTTGAGTTCGCCTATCTGTCTGAGATCACTGGAGACAAGGTGTATCTTGAAAAGGTGGGTCATTCTGTGTATATGTTCTATGTTGTTATTCTACCACTTAAATTAAATAGATAGTTTTGAACTCATCTAAGTGAAAAAGCTCAAATGAACTAGACACTACACATGTACAGTATTATCATTATGCATCCATTATCCATTCCCTAACGTAGACTTACCCTGACTTGGAATGGATAAGAACTGATATAGAATGGATAGACAGATTTAGACTTGATTGATGGTGATTCTAAATGGATATTGTTTTTGGATTTACATCCTTACAAGGTCATACAAATTCTGCTTGAAATGGATTAGTGGTGTCTCAGACTGAATAAGGGGAGACTTAGAATGGCTAAGGAGTAATGGAGTATGGCTAAGGGGTGACTTAAGATGGCATAGGGGTGGCTAAGTATGGCTAAGCAGTAATTAAGTATGGCTTAGGGGTGACAAAGTATGGATAAGGGTTGACTTGGTATGGATTAGGTGTGACTTGGTATGGATAAGGTGTAACTTGGTATTGATTAGGTGTGACTTGGTATGGATTAGGTGTGACTTAGGATTGATTAGGGGTGACTAAGTATGGATTATGGGTGACTTGGTATGGATTAGGTGTGACTTAGGATTGATTAGGGGTGACTAAGTATGGATTAGGTGTGACTTGGTATGGATTAGGTGTGACTTAGGATTGATTAGGGGTGACTAAGTATGGATTATGGGTGACTTGGTATGGATTAGGTGTGACTTAGGATTGATTAGGGGTGACTAAGTATGGATTAGGTGTGACTTGGTATGGATTAGGTGTGACTTAGGATTGATTAGGGGTGACTAAGTATGGATTATGGGTGACTTGGTATGGATTAGGTGTGACTTAGGATTGATTAGGGGTGACTAAGTATGGATTAGGTGTGACTTGGTATGGATTAGGTGTGACTTAGGATTGATTAGGGGTGACTAAGTATGGATTATGGGTGACTTGGTATGGATTAGGTGTGACTTAGGATTGATTAGGGGTGACTAAGTATGGATTAGGTGTGACTTAGGATTGATTAGGTATGACTTGGTATGGATTAGGTGTGACTTGGTATGGATAAGTTGTGACTTAGGATTGATTAGATGTGACTATGTATAGATTAGGTGTGGCTTGGTATGGATTAGGTGTGACTTAAGATTGATTAGGTGTGAATTGGTATGGATAAGTTGTGACTTAGGATTGATTAGGTGTGACTTGGTATGGATTAGGTGTGACTTAGGATTGATTAGGTGTGACTTGGTATAGATTAGGTTTGACTTGGTATGGATACGGTGTGAGGTAGGATTGATTAGGTGTGACTTGGTATGGATTAAGGGTGACTTGGTATGGATTAGGTGTGACTTGGTATGGATTAGGTATGACTTGGTATGGATGAGGTATGACTAAATAAAGATTAGGTGTGACTTGGTATGGATTAGGTGTGACTTAGGATTGATTAGGTGTGACCTGGTATGGATTAGGTTTGACTTGGTATGGATTAGGTGTGACTTAGGATTGATTAGGTATGACTAAATAAAGATTAGGTGTGACTTAAGATTGATTAGGTGTGAATTGGTATGGATTAGGTGTGACTAAGTATAGATTAGGTGTGACTTGGTATGGATTAGGTGTGACTTAGGATTGATTAGGTGTGACTGAGTATGGATTTGGTGTGATTTGGTATGGATTAAGGGTGACTTGGTGTGGATAATGGGTGACTTGATATGGATTAGGGGTGATTTGATATGGATAAGGGGTGGCTTGATATAGATTGGGGGTGACTAAGTATGGATTAGGATTGACTTTATATAGAGTAGGGGCTATTTGATATGGATTAGGTGTGACTTGGTATGGATAAGTGGTGAATTGGTATGGATTAGGTGTGACTTAGGATTGATTAGGTGTGACTAAGTATAGATTAGGTGTGACTTGTTATGGATTATGTGTGACTTAGGATTGATTAGGTGTGACTTGGTATGGATTATGTGTGACTTGGTATGGATTAGGGGTGACTTGGTATGGATTAGGGGTGACTTGGTATGGATTGGGGGTGACTTGGTATGGATTAGGGGTGACTAAGTATAGATTAGGTGTGACTTGGTATGGATTAGGTGTGACTAATTATAGATCAGGTGTGACTTAGTATGGATTAAGTGTTACTTGGTATGGATTAGGTGTGACTTAGTATGGATTAAGTGTGACTTGGTATGGATTAGGATTGAGTTGATATGGATTAGGGGTGACTTGGTATGGTTAGAGATGACTAAGTATAGATAAGGGGTGACTTAGTATGGATAATGGGTGACTTGATATGGATTAGGTGTGACCTTGGATGGATTAGGGGTGACTTGGTATGGATTAGGGGTGACTTGGTATGGATTAGGGGTGATTTGATATGGATAAGGGGTGACTTGGTATGGATTAGGGGTGACTTGATATAAATTAGGTATGACTTAGGATTGATTAGGGGTGACTTGGTATGGATTAGAGATGGCTTGGTATAGATAAGGGGTGACTTGGTATGGTTTAGGGCTCAGTTGTAGTTTCATTCTAAAAAAAAAATGATTATCTGCAAAAGTTTCTAACAAATATGATGCCCAATAAATAAGAGGGGAAAAGGAGATACATGATTTTCTTTACATAATCAATATTCCTGAATGCAATTCATGTGCAACCTACAAACTTGGATATTTTAGAATCATTCTAGGCCTTTGACGTAGGCAGATAAGGGTTTTACACCAACTTTATACCTCGATGATATTCTGAAAGATTGCTTCATTCTCCTATGCTGTCATCAGCATGGAATAACAAGCCTTGAAAACTGTAAAAGCCTGAGACTGACTGAGGTACTGTGCAGGTTTGTCAGCAACATGTTACTCACAGGCTATCTGTTTCTTATATAGGTCTGAGAGATCAGGATTGTGACATTGGGCACAATCATAATTTTATGATTTGCACAAATTAGATTGAAATAAATGCATGACTGTTTTATAAAACGCTGTCAATGGCACGATTTAATTGTTCATAAAATGCATTATCCTATACTTACAGGATACATATCTATACCGACAACATTGTGATATCTGCTTTTGGAGGATGAAATTTAAATATTGAAAAATAAATCAACACATTCATGCTGCAAATCCTCCAGTGCAATAGACACTTTGACTAAACTATGTTGGAACACTTGATATCTTTATAACCAGTATCTTGAGCAATTTCATAAAAAAAGGTAAAAAGAAAATTGGGTGACAACACACAAGATATTTGAGTACTTTTCCAGAATTTTTAGTGTATGCATATTTTGCCTGGTTTGAGACACAGATTGTCCACTGTTTGTTTGTCAATATCCCATTACCTGACATTCTTCAGAGCCTTAGGTTTATCTTATGTAGCATGATCTACATGTAAACATGTGTATTGAATTTTTTTACGGGTTATGAAGAGAGCCACACCTCAGGGTCAAAGATTGACATATAATAATGTTTTAAGACCCATGACAAAACTTCATTCATACACAGTTTTAGTGATGAGTTTTGATAAATTTGATCCTAGCAATATAGAAGTAGCCTTTCCTTACATTTTCAGGAGAGTAACTGTATATAAAGCCGTCAGTCTGAACTTTTGTTTCTCACTATGAGAATGGCTTCCTTTTCAACAGGCAACCTGAACCGTTCATTGGTTGGTTTGTAAACTTTCTTTGATCCAAATCGACTTTCATTCCAGAAGGTCTGTTCATGTCAAAGGTTATAAATGATTCAAGAGGGATATTAGATATTTTGTGAGCTATTCCAACAAAAGATTTCCTTGTATTACCTAATTAATTTTCATGAATAATATTATGATTAAGTATTTGTTTTCCACTTCTAAATCATAAACTATTGAATGTTTCAGGTAATGAAGATTCGAGAGACATTGAATTCTTTAGAAAAACCAAATGGCCTCTATCCTAATTACCTGAACCCGCGGACGGGCCGCTGGGGTCAACGTGAGTACACAATCACACTCATAGGACAGCTTTAATAAGATTTTCTTGTCCAAACAGTTTAGTGTATTGTATTGATCAGACAGATACATTCCTAGTATACAGCTGTAGCTTACACACCAGTAAAATTCATATTCAGTGTGTGTCAGCTTCTGACATTTCCCAGTCTACAGTGCACATGTACTCCCTTTTATTTTATAAGGTTTTTCTATGACAAATAAACAATATTGTTTTCATATCTATAAGGTAACCAAAAAATATAGTTGCATTCAAAACATTGCGTGTATCCCCAGCATGTGGTAAATGTATTGTTTTTCCTCACAGAGCACACTTCTGTGGGGGCCCTTGGGGACAGTTTCTATGAATACCTGCTCAAGGCATGGATTCTATCTGGGAAGAAGGACACCCAGGCACGTGAGATGTACGACGCAGCAGTCAAGGTGAGTCGGGTAGTCACAACAGTTGGAACATTAACTCACTTGTTTATTTCTTATGAATGAAGCAGATAGAAAATAATAAAAATATTTTCTAAAAAGAATATATCCGGGTAAACAGTTTTTAGCTCACCTGCCCGAAGGGCAAGTATGCCATGGTCCGTCTGTCCGGTGTCATCTTTTTACTTTAAACAACTTCTTCTCAATAACCAAAAGGCCCAGGGTACTGATATTAGGCCTGTAGCATGCTGGGATGAAGGGCTACAAAGTTTGTTCAAATAAATGACTTTGACCTACTTTCAAGGTCACAGGGGTAAAATATGTGAAAATCTTCAAACAACTTCTTCTCAATAACCGAAAGGCCCAGGGTACTGATATTAGGCCTGTAGCATGCTGG